TTCTCCTCCGCTGCCGGCTTGGTGGTCAGGCGGAGCTTCAGCTTCTGCTTGGCCTTGGCAGCACGGTAGAGCTGCTTGTAGACGGATACATTGTTAGGGTCTAGCACGACATAGGCGCCGGCCGAGTCGGAGTATCGCTCAAATATGGCTTCGGTTTCCTTCGTGATGGCAAGGAGGCTTCGGAGCTGTTGGCACGAGCTGTTAGCGGACACTGAGAGGTTTGTACAGGAGACGTGCAGTGCAAAAACCAAGCCAAGTAAGCGTTGAGAAACTCGGGCTTCAAGGTTGCCAAATGATTGCGGTCGGTTTGTCGAGAAGTGCAGGCGTGACGTACCTTGTGCTCGAGGGTGCTAGCACCGAGATCACGAAGCGGAAGCTTGAAACGACGAGTGGTGCCATCAAGGTTCACCTTGAGGGTGACCAGTGTATCGGGAGTGGTGGGTGCGACGGACGCCATATTGATGCTGGAATCCTGGATTGGCATGATTAGTGGGCGATGAAGTTGCGAGGGGGGAGAGTAAGCCAGGAGTGAGAGGCTCGGCGGTGTTAGCAAGCAGGCGGTCATTCTCCGACCGTGCAGGCTGCCCGCCATGCGGAGAGGGGGGGGGGGGGTGTAAGGCGGTGACGACACGCAAACGTACCAAGAATGCTCGTCAAAATGCTGTTCTGATTGAGTCTGGCCGAAAAATGTCCTGTCACCTTCGGCCGTGCTGATCCCCACGGTCGCTGGTGTCGACGACGATGGTGAGAGGGGACAAGCGAGATCGAGTGCGAGGCGTAGGCGTTGGAAGGGCCAAGCGGGAGGTGGAGAGGAGAGGGAGTCGAAGCAGGAAGGAAGGAACAGGCTGACCTGCCGCTGATGATGGGGAAGCTAGGCGGGGCACAGACCACTAAATCGCACCTCAGGCAGCCTACCGACTGGGGAGAGAGGGGCGGGAGAGAGGGGGCAAGGGAAAGGGAAAGAGCGAGAAGGGCGACGGCGACAAGCGGGACCGATGAGGCGAGCGAAGCTCACCTAGGCAGGTACGCTGTACTTAAATGTGGTAGCCGCTGCTCCAGGCAGATAAGGGACTCGCAAAGAGGGGGGGGCAAATTGGGGCAACAGGGGGCAAGCTCACTAACAGACGTTGGTACGATGTACCTCTAGTCCCAGCGCAGCTCCGGTCGGTCCTTCAAGGGTCCCGTGAGCGCGGCCAGGACCATCCAGGACGAGCGAGGAGCAGCACGTCACTAACAACGTGTTGGTATCACCCATCGCCAGGCCTACGTATGCGCCCATCCCGCGACACCAAATCGCTTTAGCGTAGGGCGAATCGCCTCCCCCTCCCCATTCTCTTCTCCTCCCCGCTCTTTGTGGTCACATCAGAGGGGCTTCCTGATTCGGTGACGAGAAGGCAGCCGAGAGTACTACGACGCCGTCTGACCTTGTTGGCGATTTATAAGAATGCATTCTAGGATCTTCGGGTCTTTCTTTCATGTACTTCTTAGACCGCCCCACCTGACGGCCGCCTCAAAACCATCGGAAGAACACACAAGCTTGCGGTATTTTCTTTTTTTTTCTCCCTCTCTCTCGCCCTCTTTCGTTTGGTCTCTGGTGAAGTGGACGCCATGGACGCCAGCATGACCTTGCTGTCCCAGGAGAGCAAGGCGGCGAGAAAGGGGCCTATTCTTATCACGCAAGCTTGGCGGGGGGTACCAGCAGCTTGTTAGTATCAGATAACGAGCGACCCCTCACGTGTGGCGTGCCAGGTTGCCGCTCTCGCCATCCAGGCGTCCCCACCGCATTGAGCGTCAGCACCCAAGCACCCAAGCGGCGCTTCGGTAGGATGGAGGCAACGACCATTACGTAGGTAGTACTCGCTGCTGAAGAACACCTTTCGCGTCGCGAGGCCCTAGGCCATGGGGGCCCATCCCCTGGGCCCTCCAGCAATCGGGCGGCCAATCCTGGCAAACCTGGGGAGCCTCGGCGTCCGCCAGCCATGAAAACTACGACTTCCCTATTGTTTTGTTTGTTTTCCTCCCCATAAGCAAGGCCCTCAGGCACTCTCGTGTTTTTGGTGGTGGGTTGCCCTGCTCCAACTGCCAAAACTGCCAAAACTGCCAAAACTGCCTCTGCTTTTCTGCCTGCTTCTCTACGCATACGCTACACCACACACACGTTCGCTCTCACACGTACTATGTACACGTCCGGGAGCAACAGCCCGGGAGCGCGCAATGCGCCTAGCTATTTTCTCCGAGGCGGCTAAGACAATAGACACGGGGGCAGAGGAGCTCTCCTTTTTGCCCCTCGCAGCCGGGCCGTCTCGTGCTTGTTTCCCAATGCAGCGTCACCGAGCGCCTACCAAGGCATTGCCCAAAGGGCTTGATCCCCCTTTCGTCCCCTTTTGCCCCCCCACCGTCGTAGCCGCAGGACAATGGATTGCTCTGGACCGGCAGCTTAGCTCCATCTTCTCCTCTCTCTGTACCACGCTCCCCTGTCGCCCGATTGGCGGGGAGCTGTGGCTTTCCATACCTACGTTATCCTTTAGGAGCTTGCTGTCCTAGCTCGTCCCTGCTCCGTCATCCCTTCTGCCTCGTGCCCAGCTGCCATGCGGGCCGCATTGCTATCGAGTCATTGGTGGCCATTGGCATGAACCATGCCATCTCCCAAAAGAATTGAAACCTGACTCCTCTCGAGGCCGGACGGGCGAGGGATGTCTCAACACGACGAGCCCAGCAGCCCGGAATGCCCGCCAGGCACGTCAGTCGGCGCCCAGCCTAGCTCGGTCGGATTGTCTCAGAAAGGCATACCACTCTTGGCCTGATGGACCGGGCGAGGTGGCACAGCAATCGGACGAGACGAGCAGAGCCGGGGACGTCCCAGGGCGTAGGAGTGGACCAGTCCTTTTTGCGTGTGTTCTCTGCTTGTTTCCTAACTGCTTCTACTTCCCCACGTGATCCATCCATCCACTCGTCTCCATCAGAGCTTCTCCCGAGGGGCCCATTCGTTCCTAAGTTCCAGATACCAGTGGCCGGACCCCATAGGCAGTGAATTTTAACAAAGCCTCCATGCTCAGGTCTCTGCAATCATCCTTTCATCTCTCTCTTCCGTTGTGTTTTTCTTCTTTCCCGTCCCGTCGAAAGAAAACGGTGGGAATTCGGTGAGCAGTAGTCTCACCGAGGAGTAACTGAGTGTTAAGCCAGGAAACCCTATTTCCGGGGGAGGGGGGGTTGCCAACCGCTAAACCGCTAGATCCTAGCTTCTCGCTACCGCCGTAAGGAGAACACTACAATACGGCTCAATTCATGTGAGCACAGCATGTTCAGGAGCCCTCAGAGCTAAAGGCACCCAATTTCCTCTTCGCGCGTAGCAATATGCCGCGAGAACGTGGCGACAGGCACGCGGAGGACGATGGCAAAAACATCGGCTAACCGGCCTGACGTATTTAATGATACTCGCCGATGAGCACGCAAAAATGGGTGTTCGGTTTCCCGAAAGAGTCCCACCCTTAGCAACGTAATGAGTGATGCTTACCACATAGATGTTTCCCGACCTTCTGGTAATTTTTTTTAATTTTTTTTTTAAAAAAACAAGTCCGCAAATAGGTGTAGGAGTACGTGTGTAGACATCGCGGGCAGCTTCTATAAAGAGTAACAGGTTGCCATAGTTGAAATAACGGTGGTTGGCCTGCAATCTAGTAAATGGATCGATTGGAACCACGACCTGGGCGAAATAGAAAATAAAAACTAGTTAATAGGTTATCGTAAGGAATTTTTTTTAACACAGAAGGGGTCTGGGTAGCATACCGCTTACATACTCCCCACCGTTCTCTTGACCAACATGCCCAGGTCATCTATCTATTCGATTAGGAAAATAACCTAGGTGCCCTCGGCGAACGAAGATGACGTATAGTCGCAGGAGGAACTAAACATTACCTTGCGATCTTTCAACTGGACCAACCAGCTAGCCAGAAATGATATGTTTGTATTTCTGCTTCTTCTTCCCTCACACCATCGAGGCTACCTATTGGTTCGAAGCTACTGAGTGCAGAACGAATCAAGTTTATTCACTATCGGCACCTATTTCTTGCGTTTGTAGCTTTCTCCTTCCCCTGTCATTAGGAAAGACTACTTAGAGTTTAATCAAGATGAACTCAAATCAACTGCGAGCCCTAGTCAGCTGTGGCCGTGGAAGTGGATTCTATAGTTCACACTTATCTCGAACCCGTGAACTCCAGCCTAGGTGACTATCTGGTGGTAATTCTCGCCGAGAAATGAGGCTATACTTGACCGGCACTTAGCACTAGTATCGGCGAGGAAGAGAACAACGAGACGTCAAAGGAACTTTATATGCACCCCCACATATCTCTCGAACTCTCGAATGGAGTAACGTAAAGACCACAGCGCCCTGAATATTAGCTATCAGAACCAAAGCCTCATGATCAAATCACTTATTGGGAGACTGGAATATGGAGACTGGACCTCAATATTGTATTACTCTTACTTGCCAAGGAGTTAAGCGTAGTCAGGAGGTTTAGCCTGGGAAATAAGAGTCGAGACTGTCCAAGCACTTCTTTTTTGATATAGCGCAGCACTACTTCCTTCAATACAAGGTCGAGGTCAACCATGTGCTCTTCAGACTCTGGTTTCAATAGATTGGTCTTCACCCCATTATCCAACACGCCCTCAGTGCCCACAAGTGGTGGGAAACTTTCTCCTCAACCACATTTAAGCGAGTTGAGTTTGGGGCAGTCCCTCAGCTGAGCTTGAAAGTGATTCTAACCTGGTCTATTTTGAAATGGTTAAGGATCCAAGCTAGAGAGCCTGCGCATACTGAGACGAACTTCTCAAACCCAGCGAGCATGCCAGCTGGGGCCGGACGACAAGAAATTGATGCACTAACTTGTTGAGTGCGCCGGCGAACCCGCGAAAGACTTGGGACGCCGCGCCTTAAGTCAAAACCATCGACTTCAAATGAAAGCAAAAGAGATGTACCGAACAGAAGCCAAAAAAAACTGCTCAGGTCTATACCAGATTCGAACTGATGTTTTCCGGAGATCAACCGGTGGATCAAAACCGGATGTCCTAACCACTAGACTAATAGACCAAATTTGGAATTCGGGAAATCTTGCCCAAAATTATCAGTCATTAATCTCTGTTCAATTGGACCTTCCCAAAAAAGGGCGAGTCTTGGCTGCCAGTACACAGCTAAACTCTAACATAGAGCGAGCCAATCTTTTCACACAGATATCGGTATCATCTGCTTCTCTCTAATTCAAGTGAGAAGTGATTTATTATAATAGGCCAAATATTCTAGGAGCTATATAAGATCTTACCCGTCGGCATTTACCAGCTCCGTATACACAAGTACCTAGATCCATCCAAGCGAACTATTATGTCTATGATTGACATTCGAGGAGTAGCGTCTTTTGGGCCTGGTTTGAGCTAATTAGAGACCCTTAAGAGTCCATGATATCCTCTAGCGCCTTGCCTAGTGCTACCTCGTCATAACCGAGAGCCACTTTGCCCCCTTCGCTGAACATCTTTCCTTCGACCTTCACGCACGTCACGCCCAAGCGCTGCAGCTCTTTCACATTCACCTTGGGCGCCCCTATACCCTCCAGGTACAATAAGTGGCTCACGTAGTGTGGCAGCTCCTCGTCCGTGCCCAAGACGCCGGGCGAACAGCTCTCGGCACCAGCACGGGCGATCGCGGCCGCAAAATCACCTGCGTCCATCGGGTGCATCGCCGGGCCCGTCTCCCGGTCAAGCTTACTGTTGAGTACCAGGATCTTGTGCCGCACGCCGGGATCGGCCAGGGCCGCGCCGACACCCCGCAGGATCACGCAGGGAATAATGCTCGTGTACAGGGATCCGACGCTGTAGATGACTGTGCGGGAGGCGTTGAGGGCCTCAAGCACCTTAGGGTTCGCAACCGGCCAGATCTCATGCCCGTAAGGGTTAATGTACCATAGCCGCTCAATACGAGCGGGTAGGTCTGCATTGTTATCCTTGCTGAGGCTGGTGTGCCGCCTCCGTAGCGCCGGCAGCGAGCCAGGCAGGTTAGCGTCTTCGATACGGTCGTGATCGGCCGCCGCCAGGGTCAAAGTCACCAGTTCGTTATCTGGCAAAGCGGTCGGCGCAGAGGGATACGATATGGCGACCTGGCCGACGATGGAGGCCCCGTTAGCGAGCCCGGCATTGATGTGGTGCGTGAAATTGGAATTAATGGCCGGCAGCACGGCGACTGAGTCGGGGATGGCACAAATCATGGAAAGGAGGCATATGGCAGACTCGAGTGAGCCCGAGAAGATACGGGCCCTTGTGTGACGTTAGTTTCGTAAGTCCCTGGGTGCATAGCGCATTCCGTGAGAGCAAGGCGTTTTTACGATAAGACAGAGGCCATAGAGAGCAATACCCACCCTGTTAGAAACATGTTCCCTATGCTGGCCTCGGAGAAATTAAACGCAGAAGTCGGCCGGGCTCGCTTGACTAACTCGAGATTCAACGTATTAAGCACGGAGCGAACCAGGTCTCTCTTCGGGCTCGATATATTGGTCCAGAGCGGGTGGCGTGCCTCAACAATGTCCAACCACTCAGCTCGCGCCTTGATGGGGTCCAGCGAAAGCCGACATTCGAACAAGGTCTTAAGGGCGGCCCTCTGTTCATCTGCTTCGTGATCCGGGATAAGCCGCAGGAGACGACCTGGACGACATATCAGGTAATTTAGCTCAGCCGTGCGCTTCGAGACGCTGAAGCCGCAGTCCAGATCGCAAGGGTAATGGGGGAGAAAGATGCGTACTGCGAATGTCACCCACGCCTGGGCAGCACGTCAGCAGGAGTTCGTTCGGACATTGCCATGACCTTCCGTTTACCACTTACTCGGCCCCCCCACGAATCTAATCAGTTCTGAGGAGCTGCCGCCGTTGTCACTGATGGGAATGACGTAGCTGAGCCGACATTTTCTCTTCTGGATGATTTTATAAAAGACATCCACGAGGCTGTTGGCCGCAGTGCCTATATCGCCCTGAGATCAGTACTTGCTTGCAGGGGTGGCGGGGCATACACGCTGTCGCAGATGAGAGATACCATACCTCCGGAAAACACTGTGATGTCTGTCCTCGTGCTCACGCCATCTTTCTGCGAGTTAGCCATGCTTCCGGCGCTGAGAGCATGCCCTGCCCACGTAAGAACAGCAGAGGGGGAAAGTTGGTAGTTATCACAACCGCCCAGGTCACTTCTTAAATTGCGTCATGGGCTTCATGGACCGACCCTGTTGGAGGGTAGAAGCGACTTATCGCAGGCGAGGCTTCGGGACGGCGTAGCCGTCAATGCCTACTTCCACACCACCCCAGGGATGCCGATGCCGGCTTCGTTATCTCGGAATCGAGGCTTGCTCAAGTTTCCATCTAGCTTATAGCATGGAATATAGCAGGACTAGACGCATCGACATACCTTACGGCCTAGGTTGGTGCTATTGCATTTATCCTGGAGAGCCGGGCCCATGTCCAACGTTTGGGCGGGGAATCTTTGGGGACTTGGTTCATCTATGCCGGGCGAGCAATATATTACGAACATAGATATGGCAGGTACTACCTGGTTTCTCGGCCGTGGCAACCAGCAACGCGTAGTCTGAGGATCTCTCCTTGCAGTTTAATGGCCTTTACGGCCACAAGGGTGACGGCCAACTTGAGATCCCAGAACATGGCGCCCGTCAACAATCACCCCTGGGGAGTTTGGGGGACGAACCCCGCGGCTATTATTGGCGGTATATGGAACCGTCCTGGAAGTGTATTCCGAGCCTCGCCACACATGCACACATGATTGACTTACGAAAGAGAAGTCGGAAAAAGCACGAGGTAGCAACGTGTCAAAGGGCAGCCTCCTCGGGAAGGCAGGTTTCGGCCAACGAAATGCCACCCGGGGAGGAGACTTGATAAAAAAGTACTAAAAGCTACTATCAAGGGCAGCAAACTCCACGAACGCCATGCGATGAATCTGACACACCCCACCGTTCCACCAGTGCCAAAAACGCGGGAAAGCAACAGACAGTATATCTGTAGAATTAACGCCCCAAAAGCACGAACGGGCCCGGAAGCCAGAGTCCGCAAGAAACGCAGGGGCAACGGAGGTAGGCGCACAACGGCCAGGCGGCCAAGAAATAGTTAGTGTAGCAAGGAGGCGCGGATGATCGGCCGTAAGGGGGAGGGGGAGGCTGACGGCCTGGAGGTCCGGAGGGTTCTGCTGTACAATGCGTATTGGTGTAATGTGTTGGTCGGCGTGTGTGGTATGGAATGATATCGTACAACACAGTACAGTGCAGTGAGGTACGTGATGTACGGTGCTTTCGGTTTGTGAGTGTGTGTGTTTTGGGGTAGGTCAGGTAGGTGGTAGGTAGGTCGGTATTAGGGGAATAAAGCCAGTCCCGTCACCCCGTCACCCCGTCACCTCGGGTAGCCGTCCTCCATGAGGCCGTAGCCACGTTCTCCCTTGCGACGCCTGTCTCGTCGCTCGATCCCTCGCTCGGTCGCCCCTTTTGCTTCATCCCGCCAAGAGACCATCCCTTTTCCAGTGCCGAGATATTCCTTCGCGAATTACTTTTTGTCTGTCCGGTCAATATCAACAACGACAGACAAGACGACGACGGCCCTTCGATCATTGAGAAAGGCCAAGCCAAGCAAATAACAAGCAAACTCCAGCGAAGACACCACGGGTAGCGCACTCCTTCCCGTGCCCTCGTAGCAAGCCCCGGCAGTCCGGCTAGGTGCCGGAACGCGAAACAAGACGCGCCCCGTCGTCCTGCCTTTGATACTAGGTGCTTGAACCGCCGGCCCATTGCCGGGTTGGTGATTAAAGGGCGTATAGCAAACGTGTGGTGCCGTATGTCGAAGAGTAAAATAAAGATCTCGCGCCAACAGAAGTCACTGTCCTTGCTGCTGCCGGCGCTGGAGCCTCACTAGACGCCTAGGCCAGACCATGCAGTTTGAGCCTTCAAAGGCCAGCAGGGGGGAAGCCGGGAGCGTGGCAGCCGCAGCAGGTTGGCTCGTATGCCGCGTAGGGAACGGTGACATCCTCCACGAAGCAGGCGACGCTGCCATCCTATTGCGAGTAGTAAACCATACCCGGCGCCGGCTGCTGGTAGTAGAACCCGTCCGGGCTAGGTGTCACCATTCCGCCCATAACACCAGGGGCGTAGGGCTGCGTGGTCGGATAGGCCTGGTAGCCCGTCATCGGTGGAAGCTGAGATGGCTCGAAGTAGTAGACCATGCCGTTGACCTCCTGCGCCACCAGACCTTGAGTGGACCCGGGAGGCTGGCCGTTGGCTTGGCCAGAGGTGTCTCCTTGGGCCTGCTGGTGGCCGTACCCCGCGGGTTGTCCGTGCTGTGCAGCTGGGATGAAGGCCGGAGCGCTGGCGTTCGGCCCAAGGTTGGCGTTGTAGGGCTGCGGGTAGTAGTAATTACCCTGCTGGGGAACCACCGGATACTGCTGTCCGTAGTAGGCATTCTGGGGGGGGAACGCGGCATTGGGCTGGAAGGGAGCTGCGTGAATGGCGCGCTCCGGAATCTGCGAGAGTGGAGTGCCAGTGGATATCTGGGAAGGATAGGATGAGTTGCGCGTGTGAGAGTCTTGGTTATAGCCATTGGGAAGCGCCTGCGGAGGCACTTGCTGGTGGAAGGCCCCTTGGTAAGGCTGCGGCGGCACGTTGGGAGAGTTTTGTACGGACGGCTCGATATTCTCGACCGACACTGCCTTCTGCGGACGAGGCTGGTGCATCGGGATGGCGTTCGGTCGGTTCTCCTGGAAGATGGGCTTCTGGGGAAGAGGGTGTGTCTGGGGTTGCGGGTAATCGTTGATAGATGTCTCGATACCGCTACCGGGGTACATAGCAGAGGGGCCTTGGGGTGGAATTGCCACCGGGATAACCGGAGGAGGCTGCGCAAGGGGAGGGAGGCGGACAACTGGCCTAGGGTTCTCCATCGGCAGTGGAGGCCGGGAGATGACTGAACCAGTCGGGGACATCAGGTAGTCCCGTCCATTGGCCACGTCGGGGGCAATGGAAGAGCGGCGGCTGAGGGCAATGCTAGGCGAATAAACGCTGCCTCCATA